CCCGCTCTACGCCTGCGCACCCCGCTCCGCACCGCCCGCCGCCTAGAGCGCCCGCGGCCGCTCTGTCCCGCGGGGAGCAGCGAGTCGGGCTGGGAGGGTCACGTGCTGGGAGGCCCCTGCTGTGGGCGGGGTCGCCCCTCCCTCCCATCCGGCCCCGTGCACAGGCGGGGGGCGCAGTATAAAGGAGGCAATGGACGGCGGGGGGAGTGCAATATAAGACGAGGGGTGCAACATTAAGGGGGTGGAATAGAAAGGGTGCAACACAGGGAGGGGGTACAATAGAAAGGGGGTAGTATAAGGGGAGGTGCAAGATACCGAAGTGCAATATTAGGAGGGGGGTGGAATGTAATGGGAGGGGTGCAGTATTAAGGGGGGTGGAATATAAGGCGTGCAATAGGAGGGGGGTGCAATAGATGTCCTTCCTTGAATACCCCATGAATAGGTTGAGTCAGGCACCAATCTGGGTCTCCTCGAATAGCCTATGAACAGACAGACATACAAGCACCCAGGAAATATTTTGCAATATAAAGGGGGTGCCACATAAGGGCAAGGCAGGCACAGAGTCTGTAGCATGGCTTGTTTTAATGCCACCTGCTCCCTTAGGGGCAGCACCTTCCTATATCCCCTCCCTTTCTGCTCCATTGGGGGGGGGGGGGGGGTGGTCTATGAAGAGGCAAGGATTTCTTCCGGTGATCTCTTCCTGGACCAACTATGTAGGACTCGATGGCCTCTGGAGGTGCCTTCCGGCCCTGCTGCTCTAGGAGTTTGTGATTCCTTACAGAAGGGATGGGCAAGAGCTACCTGCTTATCTCTTCACCCCTCCAGCCTCAGCCTGCCTTTATCTGCTTATCTCCTCACACTTCCTGCATCACCCTTCAAAGGATCCCAGGCACCCCAGGACATCCCCTTGCCCTGGTTGAGGATCCCTAATAGAGATACAGGCAGGCAAAGTTGTTTGGGTAGATGTGATCTGGTATCCCGTGATCACCTCTTGGCTAAACTGGCTAACTCCAGCCTTGACCTCACCACGATCCTCTGGCTGGGGAATTGGCTCTGTGGCAGGACCCAGAGGGTAGTGGTTCATGGAAGTCAAACGTCGTGGTGCCCTGTGACCAGTGGGGTCCCTCGAGGCTCTGTCCTAGGGCCTTTACTGTTCAACATCTTCATCAATGATGTGGACATTGGTGTTAGAAGCGGACTGGCCAAGTTTGCCGAACTCGGGTAAAGCATCCACACCTGAGGACAGGAGGGTGATCCAGGCTGACCTGGACAGGCTCATGAAATGGGTGGATGAGAACTTGATGGTGTTTAACACCGAAAAATGCAAGGTCCTCCACCTTGGGAGGAAAAACCTGCAGCATGCTTATAGGCTCGGCAGTGCTACGCTGGCTAGCGCTACGGACGAGAGGGACTTGGGGGTCATGATTGACCACAAGATGAACATGAGCCTGCAGTGCGATGCTGCAGCTAGTAAAGCGACCAAAACCCTGGCTTGCATCCATAGATGCTTCTCAAGCAAATCCCGAGACGTCATTCTCCCATTGTACGCAGCCTTGGTGAGGCCGCAGCTGGAGTACTGCGTCCAGTTTTGGGCTCCACAATTCAAAAAGGATGTGGAGAAGCTTGAGAGAGTGCAGAGGAGAGCCACGTGCATGATCAGAGGTCAGGAAAACAGACCTTACAATGAGAGGCTGAGAGCCAGGGGACTCTTCAGCCTGGAAAAGCACAGGCTCAGGAGCAACCTGATGGCCACCTATAAGTTTATCAGGGGTGTTCACCAGGATCTGGGGGAACGTCTGTTCACCAGAGCGCCCCAGGGGATGACAAGATCAAATGGTCACAAACTCCACTGCGGCCGATTCAGGCTGGACATAAGGAAGAACTTCTTCACTGTCTGAGCCCCCCAAGGTCTGGAATAGCCTGCCACCGGAGGTGGTTCAAGCACCCACTTTGAACGCCTTCAAGACATATTTGGATGTTTATCTTGCTGGGATCCTATGATCCCTGCTGACTTCTTGCCCCTGGGGCAGGGGGCTGGACTCGATCA